GATGGTACCGTAAGGATAAGGAGGAGTAAAAAAGTAAGGATACGGAGGAGAATACGACGTGGAAGGTGGTGGTTGGTTGCAACAGCCTGTCGAAGGAACGGGAGGGCAGTGAGAACGCGGCGGTGGAGGCGGTGAAGACGGTGAAGGCGGTGGAGGAGGATTACCGTAAGGAGAGTAGCCTGTAGATGAAGGCGGTTGAGGCGGTTGGTTACATGGGTAAGGCGTGCAAAGACCAGTGTTTGAATCTAAAGCTGAGTTTAGATTGACAAAGTTGAGTAGTAAGTAGAAGGTAATAGAGAGAGAAGCAGAAGCATGAAGAGACAACATAATTGATGACTTAGAGAATATGATTTTGGTATTTTGGTTCGAGTCTTTGAGACTTGTAATAAAAAGAGATGAATTTTTTCCTGAGTTTCGTATTATCTGCCGCATGGCATAACACATGTCGTAACTGTTGGAGAATTTGTTAAGAAAACGTTTGTGTCTTTTCAATGGATGTAGACAAAATATTGTCATGTAATGACAAATTAAAAAGGATTTTCTTACTGTGGAATTTATATAGCGGTACCAAACTCATCTAAAAATGTCTTAAAGAAGATGCATTCGATCGTTATGGGTAACCTGAGTTTCAGGATGAGTGAGGAAAGTTTCAATCTTTTATTTGGGAAAGATGAAGAACAATGGGTTGTTCAAGTAATCAATAGATCGAGAATACCGACTTAGGTTGAAGATAGCTCTTATGTTGTCCTTTTTGTACATGTAAACAAACTTGGATTCAAAACGTACTAATTTAAAATTTATGTGTGACATAGGCTAGTTTTAATAAATAATTTGATAGTACTAATGTGGTGTTTTCTATATAACGTCTGACGCAGGAATATTAAGAAAAGTTTTAGCTTAATGAGCAATTTTTAAAAAGTTATGTCATATATGCGATTGTTCTTAATTTTCATATTTTAAACTATTTATAGTGTTTTTTAATGTTGGTTGAGAATCAATGTGTGTTTGGAAATGTTATGGATCCTCTTTTGCGAGGTGTCGAGTGAGATATTTATATAGTTCTTCACGAGTATGGATTCGAATACTGGGTTGAAATGCACAAACTCTTCTCTAGCTTTAGTGATATAAATTTGTGCTAGCTTGACCCGTAAACGAGTTTTTGGTAAATCTTTTAATGGCTTAAAAATCAAAGTGTCATATCGTAATTCACTAATTCGATCCGTCAATATCTAATAGACAACCATTATATTCACATAAGGTTTTGTAAAATTTGTTTGATGTTAAGTATATCAAAGTTTTGATACATTTGTAAATAGTGATGGGTTGCGTACACAATTTTTGGCATTTTTACTTGATTTTTTTTCATCTGTTAAAATATGTAATTCTTTTTTCTACAGTCTTTAAATATAACACCATATTTAAAGTGCTGTTGAGAAAAATGCAATTATAAAAATACTGAGAAGTCAATATGTTCACATCATCACATGCATGAAATTGTTCAAAAAAGAACTCCTTCCCATCATCTCATTTACGGAATGCGTTGGAAAAACCCCAAACACATTTCACCCAATAAATGAGTTAAACTGGATCAATCTATCATCAAACCTAGTTTGACATTTTGATCAACAACGGAAAATAGTCTTTGATTATATTTCTTGTAATCTAATGTGC